ACCTACCTCTGGGTGTCGCTGTATTAAGTACCCATTTAAGGACTAGCTCACCCGGAAAATGAAATCTAGCTATCTTTGCTCGACAATCAACTGTGGCATAGCAAGCTGCCAACCAGTCCATGCCCATGATACCATCAAAATCCAACATCTCTAGCTCAACTAGGTCGGTTGAGGTTTGACGACCACAAACTGACACCGTACAACCTCGGTAAACCCGTCTAGCAATAATCGATTCTCCGATCGGTGTAGATACCTCAAAAGGATCACTTAGTATTTCAGGTACTATACCAAACTTCCCCGCGACAAATGGGGTAATACACGATAAAGTAGATCCTGGGTCTATCAAGGCATAAGCATCGTGAGAGAAAATGGTCAACATACCTGTCACAACGTCTCCTGGTCCTATCGACCCTCTAAAGCATAGCTACGATTCTAGTTACCACCTGAACTGTAACCTCTACCTCTGCCTCTACCTCTACCAGCGGAAGACTGAGACTCGCGCCCTGAAGGATGCACGGACATAGATGATCCTGTTGTTTAATTCACTGGTTGTGCCATACCCCAAGAATCTCTATTTGGGCAATCTCGCATCATATGCCCCGGACGTCCACATGTATAACAAGCATCGGAACTGGCTCGGCATTGGCCCAAGTGTCCTCTACCCCAGATGTCACACCACGACGAAAATGGCTGTCTGTCTTGAACCTCGCTGTCGCCACAAACCCGATGCCCGGGAGCTTTCACCTGGTCCTGACTGAGTATAGCAGTCATACCTGTAACCCTATAGCTGAGGTGGCAGAGGCCTAGGTGGCCGTTTAAAGTATTGGGGCCTATAACTGCCCTGAGGCTGCTCCTGAGACCTGGCAAACCTCATCCTCTTATGCTGTCCTGACTCAGTCCTCTCTGTACCCTGCTGTCGACGCCTACCCCTTTCTATATTCTGAGCGAATGCCTGAATCCGGGAGATATCCATACTATCCTGCAATGCAGCAGGTGGCACATGCCTCGGTTAAATTTGGGGCCAACCCTGCTATAAACCTGTGAATTCTGTCCCGCATAGTAGCAACTATGGATGGTGCATATCTGGCCAATGAGTCAAAATGGAGACTATACTCTCGAACACTCATATTGCCCTGCTTGAGGGCTAGAAACTGATCGACTCGAGCCTGTCGGATCTCCCGCGGTAAGTACTGGTCACGGAAGGCATCCGCAAATAGATGGAGGTGCATCACATCCCCTGGAACTCTCCCATCCCTCGTACCAAAGGATTGCTATATCTCGGAGTCAAAAAGCTGCTAACTCAACTGCCTCTTTCTCCGTGGCATGCATAACCCGAAAGATCCTATGAAGCTGATCTATGAAATCCTGCGTGTCCTCCCCCTGATCTATCCCCGTAAACTCTGGGGGACTCAAAGAAATAAACTCTCGGACCCTTGAACTCCCAGACCCCTCAGAAGATCCTGCACTAGCGGATGCCCTAGCTTGTTGCTGGATAGCTATCAACTGTGTCAACAAATGCACCGCACTCCTCAAGTCCTGATCTAATGGAAGCAGAGGGGGAACTAGATGTGCGATCTCCCTAGGAATCTCCTCAGGTGGTGGAGGAGCCAGTAATGGCTGAGTAGGGGTCTCTCCGTAGGCCTCAGATTGGGCCCCATCTACTGGGGGTACCCTGCTAGTCCCCTCACCTACTGCTGTATCTCTCCTATGGCTAGCCATAGTCTTCCTAGTCAGCGTCATTTGTGCATGCGAATGCCAACACGTAAGTTTAACTCAAATTTCCTATAACTTAGTTCTACATCACGTTTTAGATTTGAAAGAAGGGTAATCAACTCCTAAATGCCCTGTAGTCCCCTGCTTATATAATATGGTGCACCACACATCTATAAACAAGACCATACTAGACACGACTTGTAGACTCCCTAGGACAGAACTGCTCTGATATCACTTTTGTCACGCCCCGAGCCTGGGGGCGAGACCGGCACCCGGTGCCTCATCTATCCTTGGGTACCAACTTGCGACTAAGGGATTCTGGACATAAAATGTCATACTTTGGCCAGGGGACACATTGCAAGACAATTTGTGGGGCAAAATATAAAACTGAATGGAAACTAACGCTTACTAAATGTCAATATAAAGCTGGGCTGGCAAGGCCGTCATAACTACTACAGCTGACAAGCCAACAAATATACATATAGGGCCTACAAGCCCAACATACTGTACTAACTAACAGGATATGTCTACAAGCCTCTACTGATGGATGTATTGTGATCAGAACAGGGCCCCGACCTACCCATAGCCTATATACATATATACACAAGATGTACATAAAACTTCTAGACCCGGCAATTTCGAAGGATGTGGAGCTTACCGTTAAAGCTGAACTCAGGCAACACCTACTGAGGAGGTCTACCCGTCTGTCTGTCTGAACCTGCACGCATGGAATGCAGCGTCCCCAGAAAAAGGGATGTAAGTACGAAATAATGTACCGAGTATGCAAGGCAATAAAATAACTGAAAGCTGCAACTGAATTGATAATATAATAACTGAAGGTAACTGGGAGTCAAAGATGATCTGGAGGTATACTTATCTGCTGATATTAACTCAACTCTCTCAATATAGTAAGTAAAATAAATGTCTAGTCTTATAAGGCTCGGTATATATATAACTGCTCTGCCGTAGTAGGCTCGCTCATAGGCGCTCGGCCAGACTAGGCTCTGTATCTCGACCAACTAAGCTCGCTCATAGGCGTTCGGCCACAGTAGGCTCGGTATATAACTTACCATCTGATCAGAGGTTGCCCAATAATCGATTATAGCTCGATAGTAATGAAAATACTATAATACTGCATATATAGGCTCTCTGCTCTCTTGACTAGAACAAGACAATACTCAATTGAATATGAAGTCCCGATAAGGAGAATATTGTAACTTACGAGACTAGAAAAATATACATAAATTCCGGAATATGAATTTCTCTTTATGTCTCGTTATCAAACGCATGTATTTACGTGATCATGCCAAAATGAAGGAAGGGCTTAGCCTTAACATACCTGGAGTAGGAAAAAATTCGTGTGATATTCTTGAGAAGGATTATACCGTACTCCCTTAAAATTGTAAAATCTCACGTTGCTTAAGATACTATGAAATCTCTGTTTGAATTATTGAAGATCCGTACCCTTCTACGTTAGCATCAGATTGCCTTCTACGTTAGCTTCAGATTGCCCATATGTAGAGCCTTTGCTATTCTGTTAAATGTTGAAAGATATGTATCTTTTAATTGCTAAAAGATATGTAGCTTTCTTTAAATTACAAGGCTTATGTTTGAATTGGTTGCCACATATCCCAATATGACTAAGAGTCATATGTTTTGATAGTGGCTTGTTGCCACGTGGGGATGTGGGGGGTTTAATCTTATCCCATAATTTATTAGTTAATTAGGTAATATTTCGTTACCCGATAATTAACCAATTACCCACATAATTAAGAATTATCTCAAATTACTTAAAATACTACACATTTTTAATACACTTTATACATCATACTATTATGGTCATATGGTACCTTGTATGGCACTAGTCCATAAATACAGGGTATTATAGCTTAGACCGTATTTTACCCCAAATTGCCAAACTTCGACGAAACTCATTTTCTTCTATTTGCTTACCTTCTCTCCTTCACGAATTTACTCATCACGTGTTTGAAATAGCATAATGCTTATAATCTCAAGAAAATCTCATCCCCGAGTCTACGTCAATTAACTGAAGACAAACTTTAATGTACGAAAAATGCGAGATATAATAATTTTGAAGAATGTACGAGACACTTATAGTCAACCTACTGCTTTAGCAAGGGAATGTGGGCAAAACGTAAGATCTTCGGGCTCGGCAAAAGGAAGCGTTGGAAAGAGAAATCTGGTTGGCGAAAGTAAAAAATCACAACTCAACAGCTTCTGAGCAGAATAAGCTAGCACATAATAGTACTAATCTTATGCCTCCTAGTTTCGATCCGATGGAAGATGATGTTTCCCTCGCTCAAGAAGATGAAATGATGCAAGGTCTCAAGTTTAATATTTTTTTTGTTTGTTATAAGACTGGAATTTATTTTATGTTAAAAATTTACAGATTTATGTGAACCTGAAAAGCCAAAAAAGGTGAGAGAAAAGAACAAGAATAAAGATGTAGCAGGACTCAAACCCGAAGAAAAGTTTAGAGTCAACTTTTACAACAATCGGGTTGTTGGAAAGCATCAAGCCTCATTTTCGAGACACTTAGGTATATTGGTGCGTGATCGTAATATGTGTCCGTTGCAAGTACATTCATGGAAGAACATCGGAGAAGATAAGCTGGAACACATGTGGCGAGCTGTTACAGTAAGTATTTAAACCACTATTAAAGCAATACATTCTTGGAGTTGAATCACTAATGCCACAAACTGTTAGAGAACTGTTATTTGGATGTAAATTCAAAAAGAAGAGGAAAAGGAGAAAAACATGGGAGGTGGTCCCTTTACCACTCACGTGGACAATATTGGAGGAATGAAGTAGAAGAGCTTTATATGAGAATTTTTGGATCTGGTTTTTTAATTGGAATTCTCACTTTACTAACACTTATTTCTTGTTTTCTGTGAATCTTTATTTTTAAGCTGGTTTTTTTGCATATATAAGTTGTCTTGAATCTCTGTTAGTGATCTCTGCCAATTACATTGTTAATAGTGTGAAATAGTTGATGCTTTACAAAGCTTCTTGATATTGAAGTGATCTCTGCCTGGGTTTGGGAACTCTAGCATCTAAATAGCAGTATGGAATTCTTCATCTTCCTAATTGAACTTTATTCTTTTAAAATCCTCTCTTTGGTTTCTCTCTGTATTACCTTGATCCTTTGCCAATTCGTTTATAAGGCGCATGTGCCCTGGTGATAAATGAAGTTATAGTGTAACCATAAGATGGTGGTTGTAGAATAGCCAGGAACTGCTCATAGGAAAAGGGCAGAACAGCTGTAATCAAGCATATACCTTCACATGCAGAATGACAGGGAGTTATCAGGGGATTAGGCAGCCAGCTTAATCTTCTTGTCATTCAGAACTTGACTTTTCTCTAACTTGTTACTAACTTGATTGACAATTTACTTTACACAATTGAGTTACAAGAGGTATCTATTTATAGACGCGAATGTAGGGTAGGAAATTTGGAAATATGCGTTAATCACTGAAGGATTGAGTGCGAGTTATTTATTGAACTGCTTGATTATATTTATGAGAGCAATGCATTTATTACACAGTTTTACTATATTTATTATTTCGGAGCAAAACTTGACTTTGACAACGGTGAGTTTATTGCACGTTCTAGCTGAATCAGTTACTTTCTTCTTAACACGTTTCGTCAAACTTAAGGCGCTGAAACAACTTTGTTTTTCAAATCAATTGGAAAGTGGCTGCATTACTAATTTGCCTTTTTTCAAGTCCTTTCCTTTCTTGATTGATGATTTTGCAAAATATTTTAGTACAAATTTGACAGTGATGACATGAATCATCAAAGAGATCATGTCTTAAACCATATGAAAAAGTTATGGACCAATTGGAGAGGATCATTGCACAGGTATGTGAAGTTTAAGCCATTGCATGAAGCTCTAAAAGATGTCCCGAAGGAGGTAGACAAGAGTGGTTTGGAATGGTTGGTCAAGGAACATTTTTTAAGTGAAAAATTTAAGGTAAGACTTCATAACTACTTTTTAACTTCTTATTATTGCAAGTAACAGTTTATGATTTCAATGGTTTGTTCTTAATATAGGAAACAAGTATTAGAAACTCGATCAATAGGTCTAAGTTGAGAATGCCTCATCGTACGGGTTGCAAGCCGATTAGATAAATTATTTACGAACTAGTAAGTGCACAGTGCAATCCGATTCATATTCGCTGAAGAGTGCTTTTTCCAGTTTAATTTTTGCACCTTGAACTGCAAACTACAGTGTTTATTGGCTTTGATTTTACATGTTTGGTTTAGCAATGTTACAGAATTACTAATTCTAAAAAAAAATTGCAACAGAATAATATGGAAGTAAAGGACTTGACTGGTACTATATAAATTTTCTGCCTGGGATCTTTTTACTGTTTTTCAACATGAGGTGATCTAGTCTTCTGCTCGACATCTTTTACCTTCATAGGGCTAGCTATTACCACTCTCCTTTTAATCAGCAATTGTCATGACAATATATCTTTCTTGATGGCAATGTTCTGCTGCAACAGTTCAGCATTACTAGCAGTGGTGAAGTCAGAAAAGTCAATAAGAGTGTTCAAATTTTGAACACCCTTTGCCAGTAGACTATGCAAGGGTGTTCAAAGTTTATTTTTAATCAATATCAAATAATATTTTACCTTATACGTATTATAAATTTTCGACGAAGGGTGTTCAGTTGACTACCCTTAGGCCAACATAGCTTCGCCCCTGCTACTGAGGCAGGTTCTGATGCCACTTGCTCCAAACTAAGGGGGGATCTTCACACAGTGTTTAATGTCTTTGTTTGACTTGTTTATTTAAATGTGAAGGGATGCAAAGACGGTAATCTACCGAACATGGCGACTATCTTCTTTGAGACTCACAAGAAAGAAGACACGCTTGTAGAACCTGAAGCTAGTAAAATATATGTATGTTTATTGATGAACTTTATTTTACATCCTTCATTTTATTTTTATGTATTTTATTATTTTAATTTTTTTTGTATTTTATAGACTGAAATACAAGAGGTGGTACAATTTGAGCCATCTCTTACGAATATCGAGGTAATAGAAAGGTGTTTCGGACCTCAAAATAAGAGTCATGTGGTTGGATTAGGGGGTGGTATAACCACTAAGGAGTTGAAAGGCGGTAGCTTCTCAAAGGCTGCAATACTGGTTGAGCTGAATGCAACTCGAAAAGAAAAAGAATCACTACAGACCGAGCTGAATGCAACTAAAAACGCAAAAGAATCTCTGGAAAAATATATGGACGACTTTGAGTCTAAGTATGATCATCTTATAAGCTTACTGTTCTTCAAGTCAACAAAGTACAAGTTGAAGTATTTAATAGGTGCGCAAGCTTTCTACCAATTTTTACATGATGAATATCCTTAAATGAATTTAGTGAAATCTTTTATTGTTAGTTAAATAAAGTACTGACCTTGATATATGTATAGTTACTCTAATAATCCAATTAGATATGTGCATCTCAGATTTATTGTTTGAACATATAATATTATATGTGCTTGGCAAGCTAAAAGATGTAAATTCATGTGGACTAAATTCACAGTTTAGTATCTTTTTACTATCTTGTGTATTAAACATGATATATGTGGTGATTTTGAGTCGTGCAAATGAAACCCGAGATAACGAATGCAAAGTTCATTCATGTAATCTTCTCTTATGATATCAGGCCTATTTGCAAGCACCTGTAAAAAATACAATAAATAAATGACTATAGTTGCTGAAGAACAGTGAAATCAATAGGAAATGACATCTAGTCTTAAGTGCACATTCTTGGCAAAAATCATGATGCTTAAACAAGTGAAGTAAATTCAGAGAACAAGTCTAACATATTACACTAATATTGACTATATATCAGGACAAAAAAAGTTTAACTGTCACTAGAATTGACTATATACTGTAAAACAGAAATGTTCATTTGTTCCTTTAAAAGTTTGGATTGACGTGTATTCACCATGCAATATTTATTTCTGCAATGACCCTAAGAAGTTCTAAATATGTTGGTTTATACTAATAAGCCACGGATTGACCGAATATGAGACTCCTACTCCTGCCAAAAAGAACGATGAACACTAGCAAACAGGACACTCTGCTTATAGTCAACAATTCTTCCACTTGATAGAACTCCACTTTATTCCAATTAAGATTGCCTTTGCTTTAGCCATGTTGCTGCTTTTGGGTAAGTAACATTGTTCGAAATTGTTACACCTAAACAACACACCTAAACAAATTGCTTTAGCCATGTTGCTGCAACCTAACTGATGTACCTCGCTTCAATTGTTTTTTCCCATTTTGGTTATGTAATACAGTAACTTGTGAAGTCCTAAATAACCAATAATTCACACTGAGTGTTTCTTTCTTGTTAAAGATAAATTAGTTTTTTCTAAGGTTCTTCCTAAACACCATTGTGCAAAAGGAGGGAATAGTAATACTTTTTTGTATGATATCATTTGCTCCCAATATTATGGCTATTATACTGTTGGCGAGCATTTTTAATACGTTTCATGATACTCTTAATGTTGGATTTAGTAACGTTGTTATAAGAAGCATTGGTTGTTTATAGTATTTTAAAATATTCTTCGCTTCGTGGTTTTATATTTTACTGTGTGGTAGCAACTTACCAATATTAAATATTGTTTTCTTACTCAACTAATATGAACCTTTTTTAACAGATAAAGGGCCCGAAGAAGTTTGAAGAATCATCCTTAAAGATAATTCCGAGCAAGTTGAATTAGCAGCTGGAATTGTTGAAGAACAATGGAAATCTATTTTGTTTTATTAGGAGTTGTCGTCATCTGTACAAACTACTATCTCACTTTCTCTTTAATTTTCTGTTTTGTTTAAGGAATTGAAAAAAAAGGATCATGCAATTTGGATGTAATATATTATTGCTACTTTGATGCTTTAGTTCTTTATAATTAGAAAAGATGTTTTATGTCAATATTGACTTCATTCTTTGTATCATGTTGAATGCGTGTAATATATTTATTAATTTAAATTTCACATTAGCGAAGAAAAATTTTTGTTTTTGAAAAGCATGTCGTTGAAAGTACATACAACTAACGAATGGAATTCCGGTCGCCAAACACTAACAACGACTGAAAATTGATTACTGCTAGTGAAGTGTTTAACGACTGGGATGATATTTAACGATGGGAAAATCCCCTCGCTAATGTTNAGTTATTGCTAGTGAAGTGTTTAACGATTGGGACGATATTTAACGATGGGAAAATCCCCTCGCTAATGTTGGTATAACCATTGGATTCCTTGCCATCGTTAAAAGAGTTTTTACGATTGGATCAAAATCTGGTCGTTTACCTTTAATGACGGAGGCACTAACGACCGGCGACGACCAGTTTTTACCCCATCGTAATTGACTGATAACGACCGGATTTAGAGTTTTAACGACCGAATTTCCCATCGTTAAAGACCTATTTTCCTATAGTGCACCTTCAGGTGTCTGGACGCGTAGGCAATCACCCTACCGTCCTGCATCAACACCGTGCCCAGACCAATCCGTGACGCATCACAATACATAGTATAAGACCCCGAACCTGTAGGCAGTACCAATACTGGGGCTGTATTCAAAGCTATCTTGAACTTCTGAAAGCTCTCCTCAAACTCCTCTATCCACCTGAACGGAGCACCCTTCTGGGTCAGCCTGGTCATAGGTGCTGCAATAGATGAGAAACCATCTACAAATCGACGGTAATACCCCGCCAAACCAAGAAAACTCTGGATCTCCGTAGTTGAGGACGGTCTGGGCCAACTCTGCACTGATTCAACCTTCTTCGAATCCACCTGGATCCCATCAGTCAATACTACATGACCCAAGAATGCTACTGAGTCTAGCCAGAACTCACACTTTGAAAATTTTGCATATAATTTCTTTTCTCTCAGGGTTTGAAGCATAGTCATCAGGTGATGCTCGTGATCCTCCCGAGTCCGGGAGTACACAAGAATGTCGTCAATAAACACAATGACGAATAAGTCAAGATAGGGTCGGAACACACTGTGCATCAAGTGCATAAATGCTGCTGGGGCGTTGGTCAGCCCAAATTACATCACAAGAAACTCGTAGTGACCATACCGAGTCCTGAAAGCAGTCTTTGGGATATCTGGCTCCCGAATCTTTAACTGATGATAGCCTGAACATAAGTTAATCTTGAAAAATACTATGGCACCCTGTAACTGATCAAATAAGTCATCAATACGAGGCAATGGATACCTGTTCTTCACTGTGACTTTGTTCAACTGGCGGTAATCAATACATATCCGCATAGAACCATCCTTCTTTTTCACAAATAAGACAGTAGCACCCCAAGGTGACATACTGGGCCGAATGAATCCCTTATCAAGCAACTCCTGTAACTGCTCCTTCAACTCTTTCAATTCAGGAGGAGCCATACGATATGGAGGAATGGAGATGGGTTGAGTACCCGGCAACAAATCAATGCCAAAATCAATATCTCTATTGGGCGGCATGCCCGAAAGATCGGCTGAAAATACATCTGGAAAGTCCCTCACTACTGGAACTGACTGAACTGTAGGGGTATCAATACTGACATCTCTCACATAAGCTAGATACGCGTCACACCCCTTCTCAACCATTCGTTGAGCTTTAAGAAATGAAATAACTCTGCTGGGAGTATACTCTATGGTACCTCTCCACTCTAATTGCGGTAAACCTGGCATAGCCAACGTCACAGTCTTAGCGTGACAATCAAGAATAGCATAATGGGGTGACAACCAGTCCATGCCCAAGATAACATCAAAGTCTACCATATTGAGTAATAATAAATTGGCTCTAGTCTCAAAACCACTAAGAGCAATTAAACACGACCGATACACGCGGTCCACAACAAGAGAATCTCCCACAGGAGTAGACACATAAATAGGGGAACACAAAGAATCCCAAGATACGCCCAAATACGGGGCAAAATAAGAGGACACATAGGAACATGTAGAGCCTGGGTCAAATAATACCGATGCATCTCTATGATAGACCGGAACAATACCTATAATGATAGAGTCGGAAGCAACTGCCTCTGTACGAGCCGGAAGATCATAATATCTGGCTTGGCCTCCCTTTCTAGGGCGACCTCGACCTCCCCGACCCCCAGCTCGAGCTGGCTGAGTAGGTGGGGCGGTAGCTGGTGCTAAAATCATAACCTGAGGACCCGGTGGAGCACGTGGTGGCTGGGAAGTCTGTGGAGGTGCACCCCTCCTAAGTCTGGGGAAATTCCTCACCATGTGGCGAGTGTCGCCACACTCAAAACAACCCCTTGGAGGGTGTGGCTGCTGTGACTGACTCGGGCTAGGTCTGCTGGACTGGCCGCTAAAAGCACCTCGAGTAGGAGGCACACTAGATACTGGCGGTGCATAATAAGGCTCCTGGGGCCTAGAAGGGACCCTCCAAAAAACCCTGGAAGAGTTGAATGAACAGGGCGACTACTATAACCCCTACCATGTCGAACTGCAGCTGGAGCATGAGTACCGCTGTAAGTGCCAGACTCTCGAGACCTCTTGGCCTCCCTCTCCTCTCTATCCCAGGCAAGCATGCCCTCCAATCTTCTGGCAATACTCACAACCTGCTGATAAGAAATATCCATCTCCAACTCCCTGGCCATACTAATCCGGATACTGGGATGGAGTCCCTCAATAAACCGACGAACCCTCTCTCGAACTGTGGATACCAAGGCTGGTGCATGTCGGGCTAAATCACTGAAGCGAACTGCATACTCTGACACTATCATAGCAACCTGGCGCAACTGCTCAAACTCCGCTCGCCATGTGTCTTTGAGACTCTAAGGAACATACTTTCTCAAGAACATGTCTGAAAACTGAGCCCATGTAAGTGAAGTTGCCTCAACCGGACTATCCAACTCATAAGCACGCCACCACTGATAGGGTGCTCCTCTAAGCTAGAATGTAGTAAAAGAAACCCCACTCGACTCCGCTACACCCATAGTATGGAGAATACGGTCACACTCCTCCAGAAAACCCTGGGAAGCCTCTGACGCCAATCCACTAAAGGTAGGAGGGTGGTACTTCTTGTACCTCTCAAGTCTGAGCTGCTCCGCCTCAGAAGCGGCTATCATAGTCTCGTGCTGAACTGGAGCTACCGGTTGCATCGGTATAATCTCTGGAACCTGGTCGTCCTGAACCCGCTGCTCTGGAGTATCGGCGATGGAGTCTGTGCTCCTCCCCCGGCCTGAGATATGGCAGGAGCAAATGGAATCAATCCAGCCTGAGCCAAGGTGCTGAACATTCTCAGAAACTGGGCTAGAGTCTCCTGGAGAGCTGGTGCAGCAACAGGTATCTCAGGTGTCTGCCCTCTAGCTGGAGCTACTGGGGGCTCCTCTGTAGCAGATCGTGTGGGTTCTCTGGCTGCATCGCATGGACGTCCTCAGCCTCTACCCCGGCCCCGGCATCTCGCGGTTCTAGCAGGGGGCGCGTGTGCCTGGTCATCATATCCACCTGTACGTGTCCTCACCATATGTGAGAGAATAGAATACAGAAGTTTAGAATTTTTGGAGTCAACAATTTTCGCACGACAAGGAATCAAAGTAGTGAAATTTTCCTAACAATTCTATAGCCTCCCAAAGATAAGTACAGACGTCTCTGTACCAATCTGCGAGATTCTAATAAATCGGCTTGTGACTCACGACACCTATGAACCTAGAGCTCTTATACCAACTTGTCATGACCCAAACTCCCTCCGTATAACGTCGTGACGACACCTAGTCTATACGACTAGGTAAGCCTAACAAATTGCGGAAAATAACAAAATGAAAGTAAAACTTGGCAACTAACAGCAGTGGATAACTAAATAATTAGTAACAATGCCGTTCGACATGTACAAGAACCAATACTCTATAAATACACAGTCTTCCCATAACCCAGAACATCATAAGTCACAAGCTACAGAAGAAAACTAGTATCTATATACACCAGAGGCTAACAAAAGAAGTACGGAAGGTAAATGACATAGGAGAGAATAGAGGGGGACTCCGAGGTCTGCGGACACGATAGATGTACCTTGAAGTCTTCGTAACACAGCAAGCACTCTCAGCTAATAGCGGGGCTGATAATAAGTACCTGGATCTGCACACAAAACATGTACAGAAGAGTAGCATGAGTACACCACAACGGTACCCAGTAAGTGTCAAGCCTAACCTCGGTCGAGTAGTGACGAGGTCAGATCTGGCCCATTGGTATATAATAAATAAAGCAGGAGAATATACAGTATAATAAGAGACTAGAATTTAACAAAAGGAAACACATCAAGGCAACAGTACAACACACAGGGGTAAACAGCAGGGGATCTCCCGAGATACCGTCTCGTAGTCCCAAAATAAATATACAAGGAGAACTCCCGAGGTGCTGTCTCGTAGTCTCAAAAGTAAATATACAGGGAGAACTCCCGAGGAACCGCCTCGTAGTCTCAAAAGTAAATATACAGGGAGAACTCCCGAGGAACCGCCTCGTAGTATCAAACGTAAATATACAGGAAGAACTCCCGAGCAACCGCCTCGTAGTCTCAAAAGTAAACACACAACTCAACCAATAAAAACCATAGTTAATAGTAAGAATTTTACAGTTAAGACTGATAAAGAACAAGGAATAATAGGAAATAAACTAGGCATGCTTCACAGAGTTCAAATAAGCAGTTAAAGCATGTAGACATGCGATATTAGACTAAATAGGATAACTACGCATATTGGGATAACTCAATTAAGAATGAAAAACAGACTAATACTCATTTAAACGGTATAACTCAAATTAAAGGAAACAAGTCGCTACTCAGTAAAATAAATCAGATTTTTCAAC